CCAGGGCGTGAGTCACCCCTTCTCGGGCGACTCCAGCTGCAGAGGCCGCCCACCCATTAGCGGGCCCCAGTTTATGGCTGCCTCGGTTCTCAGAGAGAGGGACACCACACTCACATGGCTTTAGTTACAGTATATTGTTAGAATCGTTCTATTTTATTAGTTATTGCTGTTAACCTCTTACTGTGCCTCATTTATAAATTACACTTTGTCATAAGTACATATATCTAGGAAAACACACCTGTATGTGTAGGATTCAGCACTATCTGAGGTTCCAGACATCCACTAGGGATCTTGGAACGTATCCCCTAAGGACAATGGAGGACTGCTGTATTTAATTATTTACATAATTAAAAGTACATAACAATAGAAATCATTTAATAATTATATAATCAATGGAATTATCAATATAACTATAAAGTTAAATAATTATAATAAAAGATAACCAAATAATTATATAAGTATATAATGTATCACATTATTAAGTATTTAATAATTAACAATTACTAAATAATTGCATAATTATTTATAGTTTATATGAATAATTATAAAAATTAATTATTTATGACATCGATGTTTTATCATAAAGTGATTACATAAATTATAAATACTGTTCACTTGTTTTAGCACTTACTCTGTGCAGGGTACTATTTTAAGCTCTTTACACTTATTTAGTCATTTACTACTCACCCCCATGTTACAGATAAGGAAACTGAGGAACAGAAAGTGTGATTTTCCCAAGGACACACAGCTAATAAGCACTGAGCTGGAATGTGAAGCGTGGGCTGTCGGGGGCTGAAGGCTGCTCTCTGGAGTAACCCTCTGAATAATCGAGGCAACACTCTCTGGAGCAGGTGACTCCCAGCTCCCAGCACCCGCTTCAGGGGCTGAGGTTTTCTGGGCCACCAGAGCCCATTCCTCCTGCACACAAGGCAAGCCAGAAGGACCAAGTAATTAGTAAGTAACCCTCTCCTCCCTGGGAGGCTTCAGACATGCTGGTGTACAGCGCACCTGTCCAAGAGGGAGGTATAGATTGTGAGTGGGTCAAGATGTTCGCTTCTCCCTTCCTACTTACAGTAAAGGCAGTGTTTCCACTAAGAAACCAGCCCTCCCCACTCTCAGCCACTAAGCTGTTACAATTAGTCATTAATTATAGATCATTCTTTAGAAAGAATTTCTAAATATTTCTGAGTAATGGAGTTGCAAAACTTTCTATTGTGGAGATTCTGAATCACATGAGTAAGTTCCCACAATTGCTTCTTTGCAGAGAGAACTGTCCCCGTAGCGCACAGGGACCCCTGCTCTTCAGCAGGATTCTCCCAGCATTCCCAGGGCCCAGCAGAGCCTGGATGCTTGCCCTTGGAGTCATCATCTCAGTCCATCTAGACCTCGCAAAGAAAACAAAAATTTCACATTCCAGAGGTATCTTGCCAAAGTCAGTGCACTAAATGGCACTCAGATAGAGATTGTTGAAATATCTTAATTTCTTAAAATGTTTTAAAATACAGAGTGAAGGCTGATTGTTTGGCCGAATGTCTCATCAGCCCGTTCCCACTGGCTGCCCTTCGGGTGCTGGAGAAGAGCCACCATCTCAACAGCTAGCCCTCCGAGGTTGCTGAAGAAGCTGAGGGGGAAGAATTTGTCTGCACAAGGGTGTTGAACTCTGGAGAGAAGCAGTTCTACCAAACTGGCCTGATCCATGGGATGGATGAGTCCACAAGCTTGCTTACAAACGAAATTCCTACTTACAGCATGTAGGAATGAAGGTGACTCACGGCAAGGATTTCTAAGAAAGTCAGCGATTTGCCCAGATGCCTTTTCAAGGGCCGTTAGTGGCGAGCAGCTTCAGCACGGCAGCCCAATGTCAGAGAGCCTCTTGGACTGAGCTGTCCCCCGGGCACAAATGGCCCATGGTCAGTCAAGCATGGCCCCGTGCCTCAGTTTCCTCATCTATAAGCTGAGAATAAGAACAGCCCCAGTCCCACTGGGCGTGTCTGAGGCTGGAGAGATAATACCCATCGCCATGGAGAGGGGTGTGTTGGGTACTACCTCTCTGCCTGTTCCTCCCGGCAACTGACAATTTGTCCTGGGTTGTTCCCCAGGCATGTCCCATGAAACTGGAAGCAATCTCCATGTTTGCCAAACTGGGTCCCTCGCATCCCTACTCTATTCCTAGGACCTGGCTCAAGGAGCATGCGTATGAATGGAAGGACACACAGCCCCATCACACGTGGACCCAGCCCAGGTGGTCCTCCTACAGTCATTTCCAGCAGCTTCCAGGAAGTGCTACTGATGCCAAACTCCTACTTTCTCCACACCCTCTGCCCAGTCATCAGTCAGCTCACAGAAATTCAAACAGGCCCTCAGGTTTTAGCAAAAACCACGGGTGCCCCACAATTTCCCCAGGAAATTCTGTATAATTTGCAAGTCTCCATACCTTTTTGGAATTTTTCTGGGATGAGTCAGAAAACAAACAAGCAAAAAGTTCTTAAAGTCAGTGCAGTATTATTTTTTAATTCCTTCTTTAAAGCATCTAAAATCTGGTGACAATGATAAAGTATTTAACAGTGACCCCCCCCTCCAAAAAAAGCACACATCAGCTTTTAAAAAGGGCATTTTATTTTAATAAAGAATAAAGGAGATCAATATATGTTTAAATGCGTACAAAAATAAATACTCATTAGCATATTAAAGATGTGCATTTTATTTCTCTTTTTTTTTTTATATGTTCACTTACTTTAATAACACTACATTTACCATGTTATCACCATGGAATGTAAATTCAGGTTAGAGCCTCACAAGTGCAAAAAAGTCTCCGCAGTACACAAAAGTTTGTGTAAAATGTCTGTCCAGAGCTTGCTCTCAAATCGCTCCCATTACAAGTAATTTGTTTAGTTTAACATTTATGATTCTTACAGAGAAAAAGAACACACTGCACATATTTCAGAACTGTTTTTCATTACCTTTGCATTAGCACTTAAAATACATATTTCTATTTCAAGGTGACATTTAAAAATTATTCTAATATAACAACAGCAAAAATGTAATTCTGCCATTACAAAAGAACTAAACTAGGATCCATAATTATGTTTACAAGTGTGATCCTAAAATACTACCTTCTAGCAGCTGTTGTCCGCATTTTAGGCTTGGTTCAAACACACACACACACACGTTCAGCTGTGAGGAGGCCTGTTACGTTACATGCCCTGTGCTTGTTCTGAAAGGGTTAAGAGCCAACCAGCCCTGAAACCTGAAAGGCTCATTCAGTCCACAAGGCAGGCAGAAAAAGTTAAATTAACTGGGGTAAATATATTCCTACATAACATCAAAAGTATGTGATACTCCGCAGTAACCGGGAGTACTTCAGGATGGCATGTTGTCTTCTTTAGAACTAATTTCACCAAAGAGTTTAACAAGGTGGTGCATTTAAAAGTGATTATGTTTCTTACATGCTAATCTGACTCCCCTGAATGGCCTCACTAGTGAACCAGTCACTAGTAATTTAGTCACCTGGCAAACCAAGCCTGCAAGGAAGGAAGCCGATATTCAAATTACCGTGTTATTGTCTGACCCACTCAAATGAGTTATTTTCAACATAAACGTATCACCTTAATATGAGGCGTCTAACTATAGCAAGCACCACCACCAAGACCAAGGCGGAGCCTCTTCTAGGGTTTAGGTTTTGCCCGGAATTCTTTATACATGGATTAGCCCATACCAAGAGTCACTGATCCCACAACAAAGCCTTGGGCTGCCAAGCGCATGTGGATCAGGGGAATGGACATATTAGTATTTCCCCTGCTCATTAATTTATATAATCCATATGCAATGATTGCTGCAAAACTCGCCATTCCGATAGGGACAAATGGTGCCTCTTGGGCTTTTTGGACAAGTTTAGATCCCTGACCTTTATCATACAAAGAAAAACATCTGCGCCGGTGGACATAGTGATTGAAGAATCTTCCGAAATCAACAGGACCTCCCAAGCTCCAACTGGCTTCTCAGATGTGAGCTGTAACGCTCATTTGAGCTACACACTAAAGCTATTTATCCTACAAAATTTCAGAAAACACTCAGATGTAGAATCTAAAGAACAGAATAAACTGATGAACAAAGTAGATCCAGAGACATAGAAGCAGGGAACAGACTGAGGGATCTCAGGGGGAAGGCGGGGGTGGGGGTGGGAAGAGATTCACCAAAGAACTTGTATACATATGTGCATAGCCCATGGACACAGACAGTAGTGTGGTGAAGGCCTGGGGGGGGTAGAAGCGGTCAGTGGGGGGAAGGGGGACATCTGTAATACTTTCAACAATAATTTTTTTAAAAAAGAAAACCTTTTCATCTCTCTCATGACACACACACACAAAATTTTTCAGAAAATGGGCCTGTTATCCTTAAAAATGTAATGCTCACTTTGTTGGCCGAAGGAGGAGAGCCAAGCTCTTTTACTGGAGTTTCCCTATATTCTCGTGTGAAATCAGACACATCTAAAGGCCCGATGGTGAGTAAATCTGGGCAGCACCACGCCTGCGTCACCCTGGAAGCAGTGACAGGAAGGTAAACAGGCTTTCCTAGGCCTTTCAGATTTTAAACCAGAGACTTCTGTGGTTACAAGGCTACCAGGTTGGCTGAGCTGGGCAATTTGTCCCCCAAATCCCAACTCCTCCCATTTCTCAAAATGAGGGTTGACAGGTGAGCCCCCTTCTTGCCCTTTCATTGTGAGATTCTGAGTCAGGGGTGGTGGTGCCCCAGGCTGTGTGAGAAAGGAAAAAGAACACAGAACAGATTCTCCTCCCCACCCCCAAGAGTGGAGGCAAAGCAAAAGCACCCCCCAGCCCCCCACACTGCCTGGTGTCTGCGCCCACGGTGCGGCTGACTCCGTCAGACCAACAAACTGCACCACCGAGAAGTGGGGCAGGTGCTCCGCACACGCCATGGGTGCCGATCTCTGCCAGTGCCCGCGCACGACACAGGATACACAGACAAACAAGAGACACCCGATCTAGCAAAATATGTTTATTTAGAAAAAAAAAAAGTTCAAGTCCTTTTGAACCCTGACAGCAGTTTTAAAGGGGTGTGGGGATTCTGTCTACTGCTCGCCGGAGGGTCAGCGAGATGGCATTGTGTTCAGTTTTTTTGCCTCTGGCTTTTGATTATCAGCATCAGGATCCAGGGTAAACATTTTGAGACATTTTGGGTAGTAAATTCATTTTATGTGCTAATAAATAGGGTAAGTTCTTCCAGAGCTAACACTGGGACTTCTCCATTGAAATCCCACCATGTAGGCTCTGTTGAAGAACTTGGTGTGGATGAGGGAAGGCGCTGTCCGGGCCACAGTCCACCCACGACCAGTGTAGCGGTGACAGGCTCACACATGCCATCCACATCCCCCAAACCACTCTCCTGGCACCTATACTCTAAACTCCACCAGTTGGGACGACTGGGTCCGAGGCCCAATCAACATGCTCATACAAAATGCTCATATTTTGTGAACTTGTGGCTTCTATCCTGCCTACTTTATAAAAAGAAAAATAAAGAAAAGCTTCAAAGCAGTTTATAATTAGACAATTAAAATTAAAAATATTTTAAAAACAGGTCGAAACTATTTAGAGGAACAAAACAGAGAGGTATCTGGGGTGACTTAATTACAGAAATGAAAAAATGAATTTAGCCCTAAGCTTCCCGCAACAAAGCGCCAAAGGGAAAAGTGTCACTGTAGGAAGATAAAAGCACACTGGTTCACCTGGGGACAGAAGCGCTTTCCGGGCACCAAACTGTGAGAACAATACACCTTCTCCAAAGAAGCCAGGGGCTTCGCTTTCACTTATTGAAGGGAAGCTGGTCTCTAAGTATTTTTAAGTCTTACTAACATGCTTAAAAGTACAAAGACACTTCACATCGAATCAAGTGCATAAAATCATAAATCTATAGCTCTAATCAAAGATTAAGATGAAAAGCAGTCTTGTTCTCACAAGTTCATCTTCCCCAAATTTCTTTACTGGAAGCAAATATGTGCTAGTCAAATTAAAAGTCTTCGGAAATATCAATTACCCAAAATGCTCAAGAATCACAGCAACTAATGATAATTAGGGAGAAATACAGGAAATATATGTTTTAATCAGAGGTTCTAGTTATAGCATTCAAATCACTTGGTGTGTCCTCGGAGATGCCCTTACTAAATTAAGAGCAGAGTGAGGCGTCCCACCCCAGGTCAGAGGGATATCCTTAAATAATTACAACAGTAATTGTAATAATGAAATGTGAGATGTGAGCGGGGTGGGGTGCCCAAGAGAGACTTAAACTGTGATCTGTTGGTTTTCTCTGAAAAACGGTCTCTGGTGGGAGGCACAAATATCTGGAAACATCCGGAAGACCTGGTCTGGCTGGGGCTCCTCAGGAGCCTGCATCATGGACCCAGCACCACAGCTCTTCCCAGCTTCTTCCACCAGCTGCCGGACATAGAGTTGCTCAATCTAGAGGGATGGTGCACAAGGTCAGAGATGGAGGTGGGAAGTGAGGGGGGTCTCATTTGACCCTAGCCAGATTCTTTGATTACCCCAGTCCAAAGCTAGCATTTAGAAACCATGTGAGTCTCAAAGGAACGAACCCAGAATAGGGAGATGCAAAGAAAGGGCAAGCGGTATTCCTACAAAGACTCCTATATATTCTTTCTCAATATTGTCCCAACCTGGCTAGCCAGTGTCCTGAATCCCACCATTAGAGCTTCATTCCTTTGACTAGCGGTAAGTAAGAGCTTGCAAAGCCCTAATCTGTCATTTAGACCTTAAGGCAAGGTGGGATCTTTCTGAAAAGAAGGTTTTCATTTAGAAAAACAAACCAGGCCAAAAATGGGGAGGGGAGACAGATTGTGAGAATCCTGAAACATAAGATGGTTCAGCACTGGCAAGAATCCACTGCTGCCACTTGAAGGTCCCACCCAGGCCTGCTTCTGCACACACGTGGAGTACCCCCATCCTTGCCGCCTGCTATGCAGCCCAGGGATGAACTGGCTCCTGACGTGCGGGCTGGGAGATCTGGCCACAAGGCCTGACGCTGCTGCTCTTACCTGCACCAGAATGAGTTTGGAGCGCAAGGGGGTCATATCCGGAAACTCTTCTCCGAAGCACAGCACCACCCTGCTGTCAGGAAGCCGGCTCTGGTTGTTATAGAAGTGCTGCAGCTCTGGAGAGACACGAGGGGAAGGGGCAGGTGTTTGTAACTCCTCAGTGCTTTCACACAGGAGCTCACGAAAGCCACCTCGCCCACCTTTCCAGGGCCCCTTCTCCAGGGAGCCTCCAGCTCTCAGGCCAGGTGGCAGGAGAAATGTGACACTAGCTCCTGCCTGTAACAGGGAGAGAAGCAGAGAGCTCTGGGAGCACAGAGAAGCGTTCCCACGCAGCCGGACTGCTTTCAGGCACCCTGACCTTCTAGGAGGAACACACACAGTGGGATCCTAATTATGTGCCCCACAGAACAACAACAGCTGATGTGCAGCACTTCTGTATGTGGGTGTTGTGCCGGGGACTCCATGTTCATAAGGTCGGCACACACCAAACCCCTGGCCAAGATGCAGCTTCTGACGCTGCAGGCACAGAGGAAGGAAGCGCACTCGGACCAGCTCCCAGAGTGCAGGCGCCGTCTACACGGGCTGCAAGGTGCCAAGTTCCTTAACCCTCCAACAGCTGAGCGAGGAAGGTGCTGCACTGACCTCCCATTCTACACGTGGGGAAGTCGAGGCACAGAGGGGCATCCCCGGGGTCGCGCAGCAAAAAAGTGCAGAGTAGAATTCAAATGCAGGGTCCCCCCTGCTGCAGCTGAGCCTCTGGCCCCTACAAATGGCCCTGGGAAGGAGGCGTGATTTTTAAGATACGGGCAACAAGGTGATGGTGGTACAGACCTCGGAAGAACTGACTGGTGTCGAAGACCTTGACCACCTCGTCGCGCTCCAGCTTGTTGGGCCTGTCCTTGCAGAGCACGGCGTTGCCGCTGTAAAACACGCGGCCCTGGCACAGCCGCTTGACCAGCACGCCCTGCTGGCTGCTGTGCAGCAGCACGCCCCGCTCCAGGTGCCCGAACAGCTTCCGCGTCACCTGCCTCTGCCGCTCGCTGGGGATGGTGTCTGCGGGCGGGAAGCGCACCAGCTCCAGGCCCTCGGGCCCATACAGCTTGGCGCCCGGCAGGCCCGGCTGGCCCAGCGACAGGCGGCAGCCCTCGCGGCAGGTGGTGGTGGTCTGGCCCACCAGCTTGCCCCCGTAGTAGAAGCTGATGACCATCTGGGAGAAGGCTGCGGGAAAGAGGGGCAGGTCAGGGGCTGAGGGGAAGGGGGCTCCCTGGTCCATCCTGTGCAAATGCCTAGAGCCTTTCTTCCTCCCAAACCGGGGGGAGCTGAACTTTTTGTGTGTCTAGGACCTTTTTTGGGAAGTTCATGCACCCCTTCTAGAAATAATGGTTTTATAAGCACGAATAAATGCACAGAATTACTAAGGAAACCAAGGATTCCGAATATAGAAAACTACTACAGTGCTCTCCCTATTTCTGGGAAGGGCTGACAGCTGGACAATTTACCCAGAGAGTAACACCCGGAGAGTAGGAGGTTTGACAACTTAATTTCTTAGGAAGCTAGCTCCACCTCACAGGCACTGCTATAACATTGTTACACGTTATACTATATATAATACAATACTATAATATATAACATAGGTTCTTAATTTGAAATCCAGGGAACCTCAAGGGGACTGTGAATTTGTCAAGAAAAAGATTATATCTTTATTTTCACTAACCTCAAATTCAGATCTAGCACATCCTTCCATTATGACTGCAGGCAACAGGCTACATCGTTCTAGAGTATGTAAAGCTATATATCTCGGTAACATTGTGTAATATATGTATGTATATTCCCTCAGTCTCTGACCACCTAAAACAAAGCCCCACTTGGGTGCTGAGGGATCTTTAATATTTAATTCTGACAACCTCTCTTTTAACAAAGGGGCTCTAAGCCTTGGGCAGGTGATAATATCTGGCCAGAACCACTAAACAGTGTATTTGGTTTCCAATGAATTTGCTTTGACCTCTGGTTTCCTACTTATAGCAAGTGACACTGTTTTTTCTTTGCCAGGCAATGATAGATGGCCCCCATCTAAAATTAATTTATGTTTTAAAAAGTAAGATTTAGAGAAAACCAGGATATTAATAATAGTCCAGGTGGTACCCAGATATGAAAACCAAGTGTGAAGGTGGGGCTCACATGTCTAACATCTAGGAACCTCTAAACTAAGGCAGGGATAAAGACAGGGGAACTCACTAAATTCAGGGGTACTCACAGAGAAATCTGCATTTTGATAGTCTTGAACTATGGAATTACATGCACTGTCAATGAGCTTGGTGAGATTAGGGAACCTTTTAAGACTAATCTGGCACTGACCCCTGGAGCCACATAAGCTGTGAGGTGTCCAACTCCATGGTGCCCCCCTAGACCTGCGCAGTGCACACCTGCACAACTGTCAGGGGCAGCCTTCTGGGTGGCCACCTACCTCACCTGGGTTAACGCTGCTGCGCACTTACAATTCCTTGGACCCTCCTGCTGGGCTTTGCTCAAGAAATGTTTGCTCAGTCAAATATTAAGATGCCCCACTACTGTTCACAGAATCCATTTTCTCCCATGTTGGAGTTAAATGACATTCTAGAATCCTGCAGGGTTGGGAATCAGAGCTGCAGGGGCTCCAGTCCAACTCATTTATTTGACATTTGGGGGAACTAAGGCCCAGGTGGGTCACCCAGCAGGTAAGTAGCACCACTAGTATCTGACCCCAAGTTTCATGACCCCCCACTCACCATCCTCCCACCCTCCAGCTCTGCAGCATCCACATCACCTGATGACTTGACACACTTTCCACTCCTTTGCCCCAAAACAATTCTTAACTTTGTCCCAAATGAATGGAACACTCCAGAGGAGTCTGTCGCCACTCTGCCCCTTTGCCCTGCCATTGCTGTGGCCTTATTTCATACTAGTGTCTCTCGACTGTGTGAACTGAGTGTGAACTGACTGCTTCAGAGGGAGGAGCAGACAAGGGGTTCCAGAGAGGCCCAGGCAGGGCTGTCCTAGTGACCCCAATGCCATGGGACAGCTTAGGCTCGAGCTAGAAGGAGGTTCGAGCTAGAAGGGCCTGAGCCATGACTTGCCGAGCCCTACAGGCGAGCAATGGAGACCCACAGAGCAGTAGCCACTCATCAAGGGTCCCCAGTTATTCAGTCCAGCCCTCTGCAATTCTGAGAGCCCCAATGCAACCCTGTCCTGCGCCTGTTACATCCACTTGCCCACTGCGGACAGCCCTGCTTAGAGAGGACAATGGCAGCAGAGCACACACTGTGGAGCCCACTGCCTGATGCATTATCCCAGCTGTGTGACCTGGGGCAGCAGCTTCCCTGCTCTGTGCCTCAGTGTCCCCATCAGCAAAGTGGAGCTAATAATAATCCCACTTCACTGGGTGGCTGTGAGGATTGAATGAGCTTGCATTTGTGCTTAGCACCATATAAGCGGTTATTAAATAAATTGGGGTAAGAGGACAAAAGATTAGCTACACAGATGAGACTCCTGAAGTTATAAGCCACAGTCCCGTCTACACAGCACATCCCAAGTGCTGTTCTCAGTGCTTTAAACCTACTAGCACATTTCATCCTCACAACCACCCCATGAGGTGAAGACTATTAATAATTATACCCATATTCCAGGTGAGAAAGCTGAGTCACAGACATGTTAAGGGGCTTGTTGTGAATGGCACAATTGCTAATTAGGGAGCCCGGATGCACTCCCTCCCCAGCAGGCCGGCACCACATCTGTGTTCTTCTTTTTTAAGTGTTTTTCGTTGATTTTAGAAAGAGAGGAAAGGAGAGGGGGAGAGAGAAAAACATCAATGTAAGAGAGAAACATCGATAGGTTCCTTCCCATACACACCCTGACCAGAGATCTAACCCACAACCTGGGTATGTGCCCTTACCAGGAATCGAACCAGTGACCTTTGGGTGCATGGGACAACACTCAACCAACTGAGCCACACTGGCCAGGGAACCACATCTGTGTTCTTAAGCACCAAGCCACACTGTCAATTTCAAACATCACCCTTCACACCAATTATTTCAAATACACACAGTTGAGAGCACAGAAGGGGAGCAAGAGACATGTTTGGATCCACCAGCACAGTAGGATGTTGTTAACGCAAATTTGGTGCCAACTTTTTATATGGGAAAATTTCACTTAAAAATTCTGACCTCTGGTTCCTCTAGAAAAATGGAAAAATTGAGCCTGGCTGGGTCTGCAAGTCCACTGGGCAGGGACCATCACAAACAGCCCAGAGGAGTGTGGCCCCTCCACTTTGCCAGAGTCTCTGCCACTCCCTATTGTCTTTCACCTGACATTTCACTCATTATATTACCTTTCCCTGCAGAGCTAAGAACTGGGACCCTTGACAACTTATGTACATGGGAGCAGGGGTTGTGTGAACTGAACAGAAATACCGAAGTCCACAACTTCTAGAGGAATGTTGTAGGATTTTCTTTGCGTGAGGCAGTGGCTGCGAGTCACTCCACCTGCTGTGTGCTGAGACAGCTCCGGAATAACTTGCGGGAGCTTCCTCCTCAGACCATGCCTTCTCACCCAGACACTGCAGCCTGGTGCCCCACTATTCTCCTGCCCCCAGAAAGCATTAGTCAGCAGACTCCCTGGGCCATAGTCCAGAGCTGACCAGGTCAAAGGCCCAGTCCCATGACTCAGGGCCTCCAGGAGCTGGGCCTCTGGTGAGCATGAGAGCTGCCCAGTATAAATCTAAAAACAGACTTGAAGCCAGATGCCTGGGTTTGAACCCGGCAGCCCCACATACCAGCTGTGTGATGTTGGGAGAGCAATTTAACCTCTAAGCCTCAGTTTCCTCATCTGTGAAGCCAGAATTATAACAGTCCACAGTTCTAAGGGCTGCTGTGCTATAGGTAAGAGCTCAATGAACTGGAGCATTGTTAGCTTTAAAATTTTCTTGCCTGGGTAAGAACCTGCCTCTACCACTCAAAAACACTCATCTCACGAGGGCCTTGGTCAAGACACTTCTCTCTGAGCCCCGTTTCCACCTCTGCACCAGAAGGCCTTGCTCGGATCCCCGGCCCCAGTGTTATGTGGTCCATCTTGATGAGTCAGGCTGTTCCCTTCTCACAGAACCCGGCCACTGTTGGGGAAGACACCAGCTTCCTTTGCTCTGAAGATGCCATCAATGAGCCTGAATGTAAATTCCAGGGGCCACTGGCAGGAACGCGGTCTGAGTCCCCAGAGGTGGCACACGCAGAGGCCACCTCTGTCTGCTGGGGGCAGGAGCATGAATGGGACAGCCTGGGGCCATACCCCAGCTCTGCAGCCCACAAGTTATGTGACCAGTGTCTGTGGCGCAGTAGGTATAATAACAGCACCTACCTACGGGTGGTGGGAAGTGATAATGAGATTAGGCCATGAAAGTCTCACTTGTGATCTTGGACCCATTTAGCATTCGCTAATGTCAGCCATCACCATCAACATCCTCACCATCATCACCACTATCACCATCACCATCATCACCATCATCACCACTATTACCATCACCATCACCACAATCACCACCACCATCACCATCATCACCATCATCACCACTGTTACCATCACCATCACTACAATCACCACCACCACCAACATCATCACCATCATCACCACTATCACCATCACCATCACCATCATCACCACCATCATCACCATCACCATCACCATCATCACCACTACCATCATCACCATCATCACCATCACCACTATCACCACCATCATCGCTATCACCATCATCACCACCACCATCATCACCACCACCACTATCACCATCACCACCACCACCATCACCATCATCACCACCATCATCACCACCATCATCACCACCATCATCACCACCACTAC